AGGGCCCCCGTCTCTCTCTCTCTCTCTCTCTCTCTCTCTCTCTTATGCACATATCCACACCTTGCCTTTTTTGTACACCTTTATTGTTAATATAATCCTGTCCTCATTAACTAAAATGATTCTGAATTCAGGACAAAGTTGGTAAAATTATATTATAACATCTGGTTCGCTTCCGGAATATTCTTTTTGCTATTATACAAAAAATAAATTCTTGGACTGCACTAAATTATTGCCAGAAATTCTATTATATAGCTTTAAAATAATTACACACACCGTTAGCTATAACCAGGCCGTTCAGATGGCTAGAAAGAGCAAATGCAGTCAAATGGTTGTGCTTTGATTCTACCTTTTCCGATACAGTGAGATAAATGGATATCAGTCAGTGTGTTGAGAGACCTGTGAACGGGACAGAAAGCAGCATGCTAATCTAATGCAGAGCCTATGAGAGCGATCGGCGTCCAGCTTAAGCGTCTCAAAGAAAGAGCATCTTTTCATAGAAAGCAACGAGCGCTCGCAGCAAACAGTGGCCGAGAATTGGAGCCATGGCAGCTTTTAAAAATACCTCTGCTGAAATATTGATCTTTTTTTCTTCTTCTTCTTCTTCTTGCCTAACGTAATAAGTGAGAGACTCCAGGGATGTGTGCGTGTGAGATGATGGGTGAGCAGACAAGAGATGCTCTTTTTCACACATCACGTGAGGACTTTTGTGTGTGTATGTATGTATGTAAGGCTGTTCCAACAAGCTGTATTCTGCACTATAATTATAGTCACTTTCTCTTGGAAAGTGTGTCTGCACTGTAAAATGATTTTTCAAAGTTATATATAAAACAGATTATTGGAGTATATTTTACAAGAAAACACAATTTCAGTCTTTCTACTTCAAAATTTTACGTTTAATTCAATGTGTTACTTGCCATTTCTTTGTAATTGTGAAAGTTACTAACAATTTCTGGGTGAAAAGTGTTTCAAAGTAAATCTTATACCAAATATTTTTCAGTGTGGAGAAAAAGCTCTTTGAGGGGATAGTGCACCTCCAAAACATTTACTCATCTCCTTGTCATTTCAAACTTGTTTGACTTTCCTCTGCGGAACACAAAAGAAGATATTTTGAAAAATAGCTTAATAGCTTGAAAAATAGTTTAATAGATAATAGTTTTTTTTTTTGCCCATATTGTATTATGAAAGTCAGTGGGGTCCAAAATGACATTGGTTATATGACTACAAGTTAAAACAGTTAATACATTCTTCAAAATAATGACATCTTTTTAATATCGCAGTTTTTAATATATACCAAGAATATTGAATGGTAATCTCCACTTTATCAGATTTCTCTCCAGTGGCACTAGTAAACTCTCATGTATTTCATGTCTGTCTCTAGTGTTTCTGAAAAGATCTCAACAGTATCTCAAACTGTGCTCAGATTTGCTAAGACACCAAAGTCTGCAATAAAAAGTTTGAAATCTCCATATGAACTCATCAGTGCTTCAGAGACCAGATTATCTGAGCTGTACTACCCACAACAATTTCACACCTCATACTGTGTTTCATTTTAATCATGTATTTTTATTTCTCCGATGGAATTTTAGGAGAGACAAAGTTGACACTTCAGTCAAACCCCATTAGGTGTCCTGAGCTTTGAAAGAGTAACAATTTTCTTCTGGGACTACTAATTCCATAATAATTTTGCCCAGATTTTTACATTTTGCTCTTTTTTTATACACAAGCTCTCAGGTTTTGTCCATCAGAGCAACTAAAACATACCAAACATACCATTTGTTCACCAGCATCACCCATAAAACAACCCAAACTCCCTTTTTGCATGTATTGAAGAGTTGTAAACGCTCATTTGGTCTCACACAGCTAAGGTCAGGTCTAGACGAGGGGCTGCCGTAGGGTTTTTCTCAGAGCTACAGGTGAGAGACCTGGCCTTCACAGCTTCTACTTGACCAGCCCTTCTGGTCTCTTTTCGGCCCCAGAGCCCCTTCCTTGCCAGTCCCTCTAGTTAGAGACAGAGGGATGAAGAGAGAGAAGTGGAGAGGGTGCTGTAGACCAGCAGTAATTCCTGACTCGGAGTTGGAGGCACATTAGGGACTGACAGGGCCACACATCCCCCTGTAATTGATTGCCAACTCCCTCATTATCTTTACCCACTTTTTTAAGAGCAGAAAGAGAGAGAGAAAGAGAGAAGGATGGAGAAAAAGAAACACTGAGACTAATAACCTAGCCCTGGCTCTAGAAGGTCATTAATTATTTATGTTGTTTTAATAAGTTTTAGATGGGGAGGGAGAGTTAGTCTTTCCCTTCTCTGTCTTTCTCTGTCCACACCTCAATTTTGCCTGTTCTGTCATTCTGTCTTTTCCTATAGCTGTCTGTCCATTTCATACTGGGGTCTTTGTATCACAGGTACAATATCAGTCATTGCAAAGGCCTCGAGGGGACTTCAGGATGACATGTATCCACACTTGGAAATGAAAACGCTCTGTATTTCTGAAAGTGACAATGATATGATTATTGTATATATGATTCAAATTTTTTTTTTTTGTTGCTTTTATTCTGTCATTCTGTGCTAATTAGCAAGGAGAAGTTTTTTTTTTAATAGCCTGATGGCCGCTATAATGCTTATATGCATTATGTATATATATATATATATATATATATATACTTTGCAATATAATACATTTGAGAATTGCAACATCTATAGGGTGAGCATAGAAAAGCTGGCCCATAAACTTGCATTTCTGTTTGATTTTAGTCTAAATATTTTATGTGGTTATGAACAGCAGGTCAAATTGCTGTTGAGTAAATTGCATTTAACCCAGAATATTCCTTTAAAGTCTGCTGGTTACACTGGACTGTTTCAGAATCTGCCCTGCTTGTGTCTTTCCACTCGCCCCCGTTTTCCTGTCTGAGATCTCCATTCCACCCCAAGCCTTGTCATCTAAAATCAGCTCTTCCCCCCTCATCCCGCTCACTTCCAAACACTGGGCTAGTCCTGCCCCGATCCGAAGGGAGCTGACCTGCTTTGAAGTGCTGCCGCTTTTCCAGGATGAGACCTGGAATCTCACATTCCCTGTCAACTCCTGCCCAGTGGCAGATGGAGAAGTCTAGACCTACGAGACTCTCCCATCACGTGCTTCTCTCTCCCCCTCCACGCCCTCATCTCTTTCTCTCTCTCTCTCTCTCTCTCTCTTCCCTGTGTTTCGCCACTCTGAAGGCTCTGCCATTCCAGAACCGCCAAAGCGGAGAATCAGGCTTGATTCTCTACTTTCAGATGGTGACTGGGGTGGTGTATAAACACAGTACTCCTCTAATATCTGAGAAGAGCTTCACTTACAGCCCTTGTCTCCTGCTGTGTTTTAATTCAATCCTTATTGATCCATATCTCTCCTTCCAAGGACTCCAATATCATATGAATGGAGCTCAGGGATGGGTTCCCCATATTATTGTATTCCATGGCCATAAAGGGCATTAGCAGCCAACAGAGCAACCCAGATCAAGTATCAGTCAATACTAGCTAAAGAGAGCAGGCTTTCTCCCTTTCTCTCTGTCTTTCTCGCCGGATTTCTCTCTTTCCTATCTCTCTCCGTAAGAGCGCTGATGGGGTTAAAATATATATGGTGATTATGTCATGCGGTAAAGTGAGGTTCTAAAAAAATCGCTTGAGTTAGCACCGTGTGTTTTTAAAGATATTGTTACTGTCTTATTAGGGAGAAATCAATGGCATCTGCAGATGCCGGCCATTTATATAGCAGACGGGGCTTCTCTCGCCATTTTTTCTCCCAGCATCATTCTCTCTGCGCGCTCCGTGGGGTAGCAGCGGCGGAGGTTATCCTGTGGTTAATGTGACATGGCTGTCTGCGACCTTGCTGGTTGTTAACTGCCCGGATTATTATTGTGATAATGTGGCAATTAAAAGGAAAGCACTCCATCAAAATAGTGGGGCTTATGGTCCTGGAGATGAATGCATAGAGATTACCAGCCAGGGGAAATGCATTAAGACTGCAATCCATTTCGTACTGTAGCCCACCTCTAGCAGTGGAGGCTATTATGGCTCATCTTCATTGATATCCATTCCCGATCAATAGCGCCAGGCTGAGGTAAAAATACGAGTAAATCAACAAAGCTAGAGTTGGTCTTCGATATAAAGGAAGAAAAATCAAACCTCAACTCTAACTGCATATCATACATCTACACAGTGTGTCTTCTCTGAGCCGGCTTCGAAAGTGGGCTAAATCACTTATTGGCGGCTGTTTATATATGGAAACTGTTGTCCTTGAGTGTTTTCTTGTGTTCAAGTCACTTAAAAATGCTTCTGTCTTTCTTTTACAGATTTTTCCTGAAATTCTTTCTCAAGTGTAATCAGAACTGTTTGAAAAATGCAGGGAATCCCAGAGACATGAGGCGATTTCAGGTGAGAATGCACATGTACAGACAAAAATTTTGTTTTACATGCACACAAACAGGGAGTAAGGATATTTTGGTGTCTTTGTAGGTGGTGGTGTCCACCACAGTGAACGTGGATGGCCATGTCCTGGCCGTGTCAGATAACATGTTTGTCCACAACAACTCCAAACATGGGAGGAGGGCACGACGCCTGGACCCTTCTGAAGGTAAGGAGTAAATTTCACAAAAATACACACATTTTGCTTTCTGTGATGTTATTCATGTTAAATCCATCACATATTATACTGTACACTTCTGTTCAAAAGTTTGGGGTTAGTACAATATTTTGAAAGGTAAAGGCTGCTGAAAATTCAGTTTTGCTATGACAGAAAAAAAACATTTTAAAATATATTAAAATAGAAAATGGTTATTTTGAATTGTAATAATATTTTACAGTATTACTGTTTTTACTGTATTTTTGATTAAATAATTGCAGCTTTGGTGAGCATCTTGACTTCTTTCAAAAACATCAAAAAATTGTACTGACCCCAGCCTTTTGAATGATAGCATAAGTTTGACATTGAAACCGCATTTATTATAGTGAAGAAAAAAGTCAAACTTGTTAGTGCTACTTTCTACTTCCTCACCTAGACTACAAGTAATTTGACTGTCTGAAGGGCCTGCACTGGGTAATGTCACTTTGATATAAAATGCTGAAAGTTTGCGTAGAACATCACCTCCCAGCTGAACTCAGAACAGTTCCTGTATGTGGGAAATTGTGTGATTAGCTCTGTGACTGTTTTGTGTGAAAACTGTCACTGTGGAATCACCGGCACTCCTGTGTCCCAATCGAGGAAAAGGAAAGTCGCTGCTCTACTTTTAGTAAGACTCTTCTGTAATTCTCCAAAGACTAAAACATGAAGAGGAAGTCACTGATGGCAGTGCAATGTGGGAGATGGGCAGGCTTTCATCTTGAACACACTAGAATACGCATGCAGATATTGTAAAAGAGAACAGCTGTTCCATTACACCCCAACAGGTGAATGCAAATCACACCCAGCAGTTGTTTACTTTCATCTATTCATTTTCACAGGTATCAAAATTCCCTGTTTTCAGAGATGTTCACTTGCACAACAAAGAGAACATTCAAAACCAATCAGAAGTGATTTCGAGACAAAGTTTGGGAAATTTGCATTCCCATGATGCTGTTCAAAGAAAGTGGCTGCTGGTATACAGCACTACATGCAGTAATGTGGTCTGAAGTTGCACCAAGTGCCCCTCGGTTTGCCTGTTAGCTCGCCAAGCGGCGACCAATCAATTCCCATCCATTGCCAGTGGAGACTGGGCCAGTCATTCAGTCAGCCTGTCTGTCTCCATACCGCCTGCTCAAAGACGGATTTACGCTAAAAAAAACGTAATGGTTTTATTGAGCTGAGTGATGCAGAGACACCAAAGAAAAAATCAAATGAGCTTTTACAGTCATCAGACTTCCTGTTTTTCAGTTTTTTTTTTCATTTGCATTGACGGTATGTGGAGAGTAGAGTAAAACACTGGTAAATGGCAATTCGTTTAACGATAATGTTTCCCAAAAGTTGCATGAACGTTGACACTGACCTGCTCTAACTCAGTGCTTGTGTTGTGATCTTGTTTTCCGAAGCAGCCACTCCATGCATAAAGGCCATCAGTCCCAGTGAAGGATGGACGACTGGGGGGGCCACCGTCATCATCATTGGGGACAACTTCTTTGATGGATTACAAGTGGTCTTCGGCACAATGTTAGTTTGGAGTGAAGTAGGTTTTTAAAGAATATTTTGTATTATTATTATTATTATTATTATATTTTATATAATTATATTTTAATTATATTATATATTATTATTTTTTATTATATTATTTATTTTATTTTAAATAGCCAATTTATTTTACTAATATAAATGCAATTAGTAATATTAAAATAATTATTTTTTTTAAATATTATCCTTAAAATATATTACTTTTTTTACCAAACCTTTCATACTTTTCTTTTCTTTTCTTTTCTTTTCTAAAAGCCAAATTATTTTACTAATAAAATCGTTAAAAATAATAATTGTTTAAATATTTATAATTTTTAAAAATATTTCTTCAAAAGAATACAGTGCCATCTCTTTGCTTTGGATAAATCGAATGAGTTCAAATAACTTGAAAGCTCTGTAGTTTAATGTTTAATGTTACCAAACAAAAAAAATTTAGACATTTTTAGAGACAAACCAGACATCACAACATAACAGATCCTATTACAGTATATGGCTAAAATCTATAACTGTGTCCTTTGAGTAATGAATCATTCTTTAGCTTCAGCATTAACTGTGTTTACATTGGAGACAGTGCTTGTGTTGATGGATTACAAGTGGTCTTCGGCACAATGTTAGTTTGGAGTGAGGTAAGCGTTTTAATAATATTATACATTTTATTTATATTATATTATTATATTTATTTATTTTAAAGAGCCAAATTATTTTACTAATACAAGTTACATTTGTAATATTAAAATAATTATTGTTTAAATATTTATTTATTTTTAAAATATTTATTTGTATTTAATGTTTTAATGAAAATAATTTTTTACTTTAAAAATAGTTTTTTACTTTAAAAGAGCCAAACCTTTTTTGATTTTATGTTATTTTATTTTATTTTATATGCTATTTTATTTTTAAAGAACCAAATTATTTTAGTTTAATAAAAACATTAAAAATAATTATTGTTTAAATATTTATTTATTATCTTTAAAATATTTATTCAAAAGAATACAGTGCCATATATATGGTTTGGATAAATCAAATGTGCTTAAATAACTTGAATGCTCTTTAGTTTACTGTTTAATGTTACAAAGAAAAAAAAAGAGAGAGACCGTTTTAGAGACAAACAACAAGACACCATAACATAACAGGTCCTATTACAGTATATGGCTAAAACCCGTAACTGTGCCCTTTAAGTAATGAATCACTCTTTAGCTTCAGCATTAACTGTGTTAACATTGGAGACAGTGCTTGTGTATTGAGTGCTGACCACTGAACGTGTGCTCTGATGGCTTCTAGCTCATCACACCTCATGCTATCCGGGTGCAGACGCCCCCTAGACACATCCCTGGGGTCGTGGAGGTCACACTCTCCTATAAGTCCAAGCAGTTCTGCAAAGGAGCTCCGGGACGCTTCGTCTACACAGGTATACAACACTTTGCAACTGCCTGGAGTCCTTACCACCATCTCCAGCATCAGAATATGTTTCTGTCATCTTTCTCGCAGGTCGATCTTTGCATGTCTTCTTTGTCCATTTTATCAAGTGCCCTGCCTTTGTTAGCTTAAAATATTGGGCCTTGTATTATTTGCAGTCCGTAAAGACTCTTTCCCATGATGGCATACTGTTAGCAGGTCATTTCTGACTAACTTCTTGTCTGTACTTTTGGTTGATGTCCATTCTCTTGTGTCCAGTGGGCAAGACGAGTATCATTTAGTCAAATCGATGCTTTTCATACACCGATTATTCCATCAGATTAATCCAGATGCCAGTCAAAGCAGGCGAAAGGTCAGATCTAGGACTGTTTAGTGTGATAAGAAAATGTCACAGCGACGGTCATAAAAGAGAAAGAAAAAGAGGCCTGTGTTCAGGCTTTCTGTTATACATCAGCTTTATCTCAGTGTATTTCCCACGTTCTTTGTTCAAAGCACCTCTCATTCAGATGCATTTACCGTGTAAGCAGCAAAAAGAGACAACTTTACAATGGAGAGGACAGCCCTGTCTTACCTTCGACCGTTCCTTTGCAATGCTAATGTCTGCTCGGACAGACAAGATGATTTGACTGACAGCTGTACGCCACATCGCTTTTATGAATCCTGCATTGTGAATAACTTGAATTTTTCAAAATAATATTCTCAGTGCGAAGAAAGCGTGTTGCAAATTGTTAGAATGAATGAAACAGGACCTGCAGAATATCTCTGAATCAGAACACATAGACAAAAATAAATGAAAGGTCATAGAAGATAGAGGACAAAGAGAATAAATTCCTAAAAAATTTTAGTTTATTTGTTTATAATAAAAAATTACAATACTAAAATTTTTTACTATTTTTATGAAATATTGTATACAAATATTTACTTGATCTTTTTTATTAAATATATAATTATTAATATTGACATATATATACATACTTTTTAAAAAAATATATAGCAATTCCTATAAGAATACAGTTTGGAGAGGAGACTATGCCTAATCTTTCTGTTTCTCAAAATCATTTTCATTTTATGTTGCAAATTAGATTCACCCATTCATATTTTAGTTTGTGGATTCACTGACGTACATCCAGCAACTTATTTACTGTGCCAGAGATATTCATGAATGTGAAATGAAGCAGGCTTTTAAATACTGAATAGGCAGACTGCGTATAACTGAAGAGGAATGAGAGTGCATCTAACCTCAGTGATGTCTTTTCCACCAGAGACTTCCCATAAGCCCCAGTGAGCTCAACTTTACACTGCATTCCAGCTCGAAAAAAGCTCACTTCTTATCGTCAGACACTTCCAGATAAACACAAGCCAGTTTGAATATTTTGAAAGAGATACATTTAGGTCATCAGAAATTAAGAGTTCAGGCCGTAGGGATTGGGAGGGGGATACGTACATTGGCGAAGGAAACTGGCATCTCTGTGCAGACACATTATTTTTTATCATATTCCTTTTATCTGCCTTTCATTAGCAGTAATGGACCCCAGAAATGCATCAAAGACGGTCAATGTGCCCATTCTACTGATTGTAGGTTGACTGTCTTATCTTTACTGGAGTGGAAAGCCAGAGCAGCAGTGTTCAAAGCATGTCTTTGATATCACTGCCGTTAACACTGCCTTCACAGGAAGTGATCTCACAGTCTTCAAACTGAAGCTTCTGGGGCTGTTAGATAGATATTCCACCGTGGCTTAGTGAAATTCAGAATTCAGTTCAATTTACCAGTTAAAATTTTGTTGCATGGAATTTTTATTTAAATTGATTATGCCCTACTACAGAATGTTATATTGGAATTTGAATTGGAATGACAGGAAAATGAATTTACTTTCAATTCATAGAAATCCATACAATTTTAATAAAAAAAATAATAATTACAATTTTTAAAAAGAACTGAAATATTTACTATTATTTATATATTGTTTATATTAAAATAAAAATATGAACTATAAATTAAATAATGTACAGCTTTATAATTTCATATATAAAGGCATATATTTCTATATTATATATATACAGATATATATTTATATGTTGCGTGATTTAAAAACGATACTTATTGCAGTTCATTTCAATTTCTGTTCATATTAATTGTATTTTCTTAAATTCACATTTGAATCCCAATTCTGCATCCTGTTTGCTAGCTCAGTTCAAATTCAACTGAAATTCTGTTATTGAACTGTAAATTAAAAGGCTTTCTCAGTTCTGTTCTGAATATCACACAAGTCTGCTCTGCACCTGCTGGCTGTGGCTTTACCATTCTTAGCACTACAGGGAAATGTCAAAGACTGGCTCTGTCCAAATTTCCCGAAAGCATTTCACGTGTGGCATGGGCTAGTTAGGACATCTTGTTAAATTAGCAGAAATTTAAGTCCATTCTCACTTTCAGTGTTGCAGCTGGTACCTAATAACTATTACGGCTCTGTTGCTTTCTCACATTTACTCTGTTCTCTGCTGCTCTCCCTTCGGAGAGATCTTCACTCTTATTCTGTTAGTTCTCCTTTCTGCCTGCATGCATCATTAAGTCCTTCAGTCCACCAGCTCTTGTCTCTCTCTGTCTCTCAGGGGGTTAAGACTTCCCAGGTGTTGGGTTAGAGGAAGGAGGGCAAGATGAGTGTGAAGAGCCTAAGGGTATTGACTTTCCTGGGAAAACACAGCTCTCTAAAATCAGTAGCCAAATACTGCAATAACTCAACAGCCATTGATCCTCTTTCCCCTACGGCCACATTGATCTATACATTACAAGCTCTGAGACTGGCGGCATGGATCCAGCCTACGCTAACACAACCTTCCCAATAGCCTGTAACTTACTGCCTCTGTCATTATAATCATAATAATAATACATGTTACCAGAAGTAATGTATTCAGTATGATACAGCTGAATGACAGAAAATCGTGCCTTTGGTTTGCAAGTGTTCGAGCTGTATTTGGGGCATCAAAAAGTCGGCATTTGACTTGGCCTTTTGGGTATAACATTTTATTTGATTGCCTCAGTCAAGAATATCCAGCAGAAATAAAACTTGTATCTGAAACATCCTCTCCACTTCCTGAAAGGGGAGGGCTTATATTCCCTTAGCGGTGCTGCATGCATTCCAAGCAATTGCACAATATCCTAGAAACAGAGGATACTGGAGGTGCGGGACTTGTTAATATGAAGAGTGCTGTTCTCCTGGGCACCAGTGTGCCTGTCAGAACATGCCTGATGCCTTCCAGGCTGACAGGCTTTGGCATTGCAAACAAGAGCTGTAGCATCTTTGCTGGGTGAGGCCTTTTGTTTAAAAGACTCAGTGTTGCTTAAACAGGGTGCTGGGTTACAAAACGGGCAGGGGCAGGATGAACTTCCTCCCTGACCACCTGCTCAACCTCTTCCCAGTACCTTATTTTGGTTTGTTTAAGCGTAAATTATAGAAAAGGGGTTGTTTTGTGAAGCTAATGACTGTCATGGGGTTGTGCAGTAGGCTGGCACAGTCCCAAAGGGTTAGGAAGGTAGGGTGTATATGTTTTTGGTGACTCTAAGTGCACAAGTATACTTATACATTATACAATTGCCAGAAGCGAATGTACTGTAAAGTGAGTTACTATTAAAGGAATAGTTCACCCAAAAATGAAAATGTACTCAAAAATTATTGGCCAAAATGGAAACTGAAAATTATTATTTTAAATTGTAATTATTTGTAAATATATATATTTTAAAACTAATTTAATTAAATTGTCTAATTATTTTTAATAATATAATAATTTAAAGTACTGGATAATGTACTTAAAATATTATGATATAACTCTGTAGACACAAAAACAGAATTTTGGGTCATATAAATATGTTTATTTTATAAAATGATTCTTTTAATTATTTTGAAATAACGGTTTCTGATAAAATTTTCC